TGTCTGTCTGTCTGTCTGTCTGTCTGTCTGTCTGTCTGTCTGTCTGTCTAGAGCCAAGCTCTCAAAGATCATGAATGTGGGCTGCAAATTATAGGACAAAAGTTTAACCAAATTTATAGTAGGAGTGTTTACAGGAAATGTATGTGAATAGTAAACCTCAATGTAAAACCTACCATCTGGCAGATGATTTAGAGTACCAAATGCTACAAAAACATTTTTAAGAAGTCATTCCGAGTGCCATTACTGTTTTTAACCTCTGATGTATGAGCCCCTTCAGGGCACAGTATTGACAGGTACAGGGGGTGGACAATATAATGGAAAAATCAAGCAATATATGAATATTTATTAACTCATAAGTACTGTAGCTGGGTGACCCGTTGCCTTCAGAACAGCTTCAGTCCTTGTAATATTGTTATATTGTAATATTGGACTGGTTCTAGTAGGATATTGGACCATTGTTCAAGAAGGAAAGTCTCCAGTTCCTTGGGAGATGAAGGAGGTGAAAATCTACTCTACACTCTATGTTCCAGAACTTTCCATAAAGGTTCAATGATGTTTAGAGCTAGTGATTGGTGATTAGTGAGGCCATGGAAGGAGTTTGACTTCATTCTGGTATTCATGCAACCACTCTTGATAATATGGGAGTTTTTCATCTTGTCACCTAAAATGGCTTTGTATTACTTGCCCATAATTCTATCACGCAAAGTAATAATTGGACCCAATGACTCCCACGAGAAAGCAGTCCATACCACAGGGGACTCACTACCATGTTGAGCAGTTGTTCAACAACTTGTTAAAAAACAATAATCCATCCAGATGTAGGAAAAAGTGTTGATTCATCAGACCATATTACTTTCTGCCATTGCTTAAAAGTCCAAGGTTTTGTGTTTGTTATACCAGGTTAAGCATTGTCGTGCGTTGGCCATACAGTAGTTACAAGTAGTTTCCAAATGTCGGCCGCACCATAAATATCAGCTTTGTGAAACTCACGACGTACAGTTTCTGTTGAGACTGGATCATGCATGTGTAGACTCAGTTATGTGGTCATTTTTGAGGCCGTTGTTTTGTTGTTTTTAGCAACTAGCCTGTTAAGTGTCCCTCTACCCCTGTCTTTGACTTGTGATAACTTTACCACTTTCCTGATGCTGTTATCTCTTGTTTTGGAGTATGCTGTCATTATTTCCAACAGTGTTACCCCTGGCCCATTGAATTAGTT